CCCAAAATCCACCCAAAACTTCCCCAAATCCCCTAAAATTCCCCAAAAATTCCCAAGAATTCCCAAATTTCCCCAAAATCCCACTGACCATCGGACCAGGATGTCTTGCAGTGTCCCAAAGCCCCCCAAAATCCCCCGGACAACTCCCCAAAATCCACCCAAACCTCTTCCAGAACTCCCCAAAATCCACCTAAATCCCACTCAAAACTTCGCAGAAATCCCAAAAATTCCAAAAAAAATCCCAAAATTCCAAAAATCCCCCAAAATCCCCCCTGACCATTGGTCCAGGATGTCCTGCAAATCCCTCAAAACCCACCCCAAAATCCTTTCAAAACCGCCCAAAATCCCCCCAAATCCCTCCCAAAATTCCCCAAAATTCCCAGAAATCTAAAAAAATTCCCAAAAATTCCCAAATTTCCCCCAAAATCCCACCGACCATCGGACCAGGATGTCCTGCAAAGTCCCAAAATCCACCCAAAATCCCCCCTAAACCCCTTTCAAAACCCCTCAAAATCCCCCAAAATCCCTCCCAAAATTCCACTCTAAACTTCCCAAAATTCCCAGAAATCCCAAAAAATTCCCAAAATTCCCAAATCCTGACCATCTGACCAGGATGTCCTGCAGTGTCACCGTCAGGGCGTGGCCCAGGTGAAGGGACCCGGTGACGTTGGGGGGGGGCAGCACCAGGCTCAGCACCGGGGAATCCCCAAAATCCTGGGGGGAAAATTTGGGAATTTTGGGATTTATGGGAATTTTCAGGTGATTTTTGGGTAATTTTTGGGTAATTTTTGGGTAATTTTTGGGTAATTTTTGGGTGATTTTTGGGGTTGTTCAGGTGATTTTTGGGTGATTTTTGGGAGCCCCCCGAATCCTGGAGGGAAAAATTGGGAATTTTGGGATTTTTGGGAATTTTCAGGTGATTTTGGGAATTTTTTGGGGTCGTTCAGGTGATTTTTGGGTCCCATTCAGGTGATTTTTGGGTGATTTTTGGGGTAATTCAGGTGAATTTTGGGTGATTTTTGGGTGATTTTGGGGTAATTTTTGGGGTCGTTCAGGTGATTTTTGGGGTCATTCTTGTGATTTTTGGAACCCTGCCAAATCCTGGGGCAAAATTTGGGATTTTGGGATTTTTTGGGAGGGGTTTGACCACCCCCAGGTGATTTTTGGGGTTCCTCAGGTGATTTTTGGGAATTTTTAGGTGATTTTGGGGTGTTTTTTTGGGTCATTCAAGTTATTTTGGTTGTTTTTGGGATGATTTTTAGGTGATTTTTGGGTGATTTTTAGGTTCCCCCAGGTGATTTTTGGGCCACCGCGAATCCTGGGGGCAAAAATTGGGATTTTTGGGAATTTTCAGGTGATTTTTGGGAATTTTTGGGGTCATTCTGGTGATTTTTGGGTCGTCCCACCCCTGAATCCTGGGGGAAAAAATTTGGGATTTTGGGGAATTTTCAGGTGATTTTTGGGGTCATTCAGATGACTTTTGGGTGATTTTTGGGGCCATTCAGGTGATTTTGGGTGATTTTTGGGTCCCCCCAAGGTAATTTTTGGGACCCCCCCGAATCCTGGGGGAAAAAATTTGGGATTTTGGGATTTTTGGGAATTTTCAGGTGATTTTTGGATAATTTTTGGGGGTGTTCAGGTGAATTTTGGGTGATTTTCAGGTGATTTTGGGGAATTTTCAGGTGATTTTTGGGTGATTTCTGGATGATTTTGGGGTGATTTTTGGGGTCATTCAGGTGATTTTGGGGTGTTTTTTTGGCCCTTCCGGGTGTTTTTGGGGTGATTTTTTTGGTCCCCATATTTTAGGATATTTTTAGGATATTTTTAAGTATTTTTAGGATATTTTGGGGTGATTTTGGGGCCCCCTCACCTGCTCAGAGGGTTTGAAGAACCCCTCCCTCTCCCACCATTGGTACCAGGCGGCCTCGACGTAGCGGGGGCTGTACTGGGGGGGCAGCGGCACCGTCGTGTCTGTGTCCCCAAAAAATTGTCACCTGTGTCACCTGGAGGAGGTGACAGGGCCACCAACCCCCAAAATTCCCCAAAAATCCCACAAAAACCCCACCAAAATACACCCAAATTCACCCAAAATCCACCCAAATTCACCCCAAATTCACCCAAAATCCACCCAAATTCACCCAAAATTGTCACCTGTGTCACCTGAGGGAGGTGACAGGGCCACCAACCCCCAAAATCCCCAAAATTCCACAAAAAAACCCCCAAAACCCCACAAAAATCCACAAAAACCCCACCAAAATCCACCCAAACCCCATCAAAATCCACCCAAAACCACCCAAATTCACCCAAAATTGTCACCTGTGTCACTTGGGGGAGGTGACAGGGCCACCAACCCCCAAAATCCCCAAAATTCCACAAAAATCCCACCAAAATACACCCAAACCCCATGAAAATCCACCCAAATTCACCCCAAATTCACCCAAAATCCACCCAAATTCACCCAAAAATGTCACCTGTGTCACCTGGGGGAGGTGACAGGGCCACCAACCCCCAAAATCCCCAAAATTCCACAAAAAAATCCACCGCAATCCACCCAAACCCCATGAAAATCCACCCAAATTCACCCGAAATCCACCAAAACCTCCTCAAATTCACCCGAAATCCATCCAAATCCACCCGAAGTCACCCAAAATCCACCCCAGATCAACCAAAATCCACCCTAAATCCCACAAAAATCCACCCCAAATCCCACCCAAATCACCCAAAATCACCCAAATTCCCTCAAATTCACCAAAACCTCTTCAAATTCACCCAAAATCACCCAAATTCACCAAAACCTCCCCCAAATTCACCCCAAATTTCCCCAAATTCACCCCAATTTACCCAAAATCCATCCCAAATCCCTAAAATTCACCCCAAATTCACCCAAAATCACCCAAATTCCCCCAAATTCTCCCCAAATTCACCCCAATTTACCCAAAATTCCCCCAAAATTCACCCCAAATTCCCCCAAATTCACCCAAAATTCCCCCAAATCCACCCGAATTCACCCAAAATTCTCCCAAATTCACCCAAAATTCCCCAAAATCCACTCAAAATTCACCCCAACCTCCCCAAATTCGCCCAAAACTCCCCCAAATCCACCCAAATTCCCCCAAATTCACCCAAAATCCACTCAAAATTCACCCAAAATTCCCCCAAAATTCTCCCAAATTCACCCAAAATTCCCCCAAATTCTCCCCAAATTCACCCCAATTTACCCAAACTTCCCCAAAATTCCCAAAATTTCCCCCAAATTCCCCTCCCATACCCTTTTTTCCGCCGGGTCCCAGCGGGTGCTGATATTCCACCTCAGCCTTGGGGCTCCAACCCTTGGGGAGGGGGGCGGGCTCCTGAAAAACCAGTATGGACCAGTTTAAACCAGTATAAATCAAAATAAACCAGTATGGCCCAGTATAAACCAGTATAAATCAAAATAAACCAGTGTGGCCCAGTATAAACCAGTATAAATCAAAATAAACCAGTATGGACCAGTTTAAACCAGTATAAATCAGAATAAACCAGTATGGACCAGTATAAACCAGTATAAATCAAAATAAACCAGTATGGACCAGTATAAACCAGTATAAATCAAAATAAACCAGTATGGACCAGTATAAACCAGTATAGACCAGTATGGACCAGTATAAACCAGTATGGACCAGCTTAAACCAGAATAAACCAGCACGGATCAATATAACCCACCCCAAACCAGTATGGACCAGTATAAACCAGTATGGACCAAGATAAACCAGTATAAATCAGAATAAATCAGAATAAACCAAAATAAACCAGTATGGACCAGTCCAAACCAGTATAAATTAGTATAAATCACAATAAACCACCACAACCCAAAATAAACCAAAATAAACCAAAATAACCCAGTATGGGCCAGTATAAACCAATATAAGCCAGTATAAACCAATATAAACTAATACAAACCAATATAAACTAATACAAATCAATATAACCCACCCCAAACCAGTATAAACCACTACAAACCAGTTTAAA